AGTTCTGAATAGAACTACATTGCGCTAGTGTCAAACTACACCAATCAGTGCACAAGACGCTCTAGTAATCTCAAATCTAAGGATCACATGCACCACCATTTGTTAGAGGATTTACTCCATAGACAGTAGAATTACCATCCATATGGAATCCTTTGGTAGGTCTATCCAATGAACTTGCCTATAACAAACAACCATGTGTTGCTCTAGGTTGTCAGCAAACAACCTTGACAAGTGGGATCAGTCACTATCTTTCAATAGAGTCGTTCAACATTATGATAGCCTTATTGTATTATTTGTGTCCTTAGTCAGAATAATACTGGGGCTACGGATATTTCCAGAATGGCCACCATATGTGATCATAGAGTTCTCACTATCAATATTTGAAACGCTGAATACCCTATCATGGTTCAACCATCCTAAGGACATATATCAATACACAAAATTATGATTTACACGATATGGAAGAATATGCCTTTTATTGATAAATAAAAATTATTACAAAGAGTCAATTCTACAATAATTGATTGGCTCTAAGGCACCTACTCTAACAAAAGTTTCCTCATAATCCAACCGTTGTTTCTGAGTATAACCTTTCGCTACCAGTCTAGCTTTATAGGTCTTTACCTTTCCATCTTTCTCAATTTTCCTTTTGAATACTCATTTACATCCAATAGGAACTATTCCTTTAGGAGGATCAATAAGTGTCCAAACTTGATTGGCATACATTGATTATATTCCAAAATTCATTGCTTTTAGCCATCTTCCAGAATCAATATCTAATATCACTTCTTCATAGGTTCTAGGATCATCTCCACGATCAACTTCTCCTATTGAAAGAGATTCAAAAACTTTTTCATGTAGAAGTCCATAATATCTCTTTGGAGATCGAGATATTCTAGAAGATTTGCAAGTTGGAACCATTGTCTCATGAGTTAAAGGTTCCTAATTTGATTCATCTATTTGAGTATTGTCAATCTAAGACTCTTTGGCCTATTCCATGAATTCAAATTTTCTTCTCACACCTTGTTCTTCTAAGAACTCTTTTTCAAGGAAATGTGCGTTTCTACTGATTGAAATTCTTTGATCAGTAAGGAAGTAAAAATAATACCCTAAACTATCTTTAGGATACCCTATAAACTGACCTTTATCAGATTTTATGTCCAACTTATCTGTTTTGACAATCTTGACATAAGTTGGACAACCCTAGACTTTCAAATAGTTAAGACTAGGTGGTTTCCTATACCCTACTTCATATGGTGTTTTCTGGACTGATTTGGATGGTGCTCTATTCAAAATGTGCATTGCTGTTTGAAGGGCATATCCCCACAAATAAATCAGCAAGTCCGTAAAACTTATCATTGATCGTACCATATCCAATAAAGTTCAATTTCTCCTTTTAGATACACCATTGTACTGCGGTGTAAATGGAGGAGTTAATTGTGATATAATCCCATTTTCTTTTAGCAAATCTCAAAATTTCATACTTAAGTATTCATCTCCTAAATCTAATTGTAGAATTTTAATACTCTTTTCAGTTTGTTTCTTTACTTCCTTCTTGAATTCTCTGAACTTTTTAAAAGATTTTGATTTGTATTTCATTAAATACAAATATTCATACCTTGAATAATCATCAGTAAAGGCAATGAAGTAGTGAAAACCTCTTCTGGCCATTTTATTAAATGGTCCACACACATCTGTACGTATTAATTCTAGCAAATCTTTGGCCCTTTCCCCATTACTCTTAAAGGGTGATTTCGTCATTTTTCCTTGAAGACAAGAGTCACAGGTTGGATAGGGTTTTGAACCCAATGAACTTAAAAGTCCACTTTCTCCTAATTGGATTATTTTTCTATCTCCTATATGACTTATTCTATGATGTCAAAGTAATTTAGGATTAATTTCATTTCGAATTTTTTTATTAGTTATGGAATTCATTATGCTATGGTTATTCAATTCTAGCACATACAAACTATTTGTATTGATAGCTTTCCCAACAAGTTTATTTCCAAAATAAAGTAGACATTCATTTTTATTAAACTATACACTGCAACCATATTTACATAATACAAAAACAAAAATTATATTTCTAGTAGCTTTAACAAAATATAGGATATTGTACAAATACAAAATGTGTCATGATGGAAGCATCAAACTACATGTTCCCATGGCCTCGGCTGCAACATTTGCTCCATTTGCCATTCTTAGCATGACTTGATCTTTTGTTGTGAGGTTACATTAGGTTTAATAAGAATTTGATTCCTCACTAGAAATTTAATCCAAGAAAATTCCGAATTTTCATCCAAGGAAGTATGGGATTTGAATAAAATAGTGGAAGCTAATTAGATTAGCTTAATAAAAGATATATGTGATAAAAAAATAATAATTTTTTTTTAATTTCTTTGCAGTCTATCTCGTGTGTGATATAAAACAATAAAAGACGAATAGTTTACTGATGAAAAATCTAGATGACAACAACAAATTGGTTGGCTGTAACAACTTTAATGATTGGCTAAGAAAATTATCAATGATATTAAATTCTGAAAATGTAGCTTATGTTTTAAAAACACCCCTACCTGAAGCTCCTCTTCTTGAAGCTCAACCTGATGAGCACAAAGAATATAAGAAATGGAAGGATGATGAATCAAGAGCTCGTACTTATATGTTGGCTTCAATGAGTGATGAGCTCCAAACAAAATGTGAAAAAAAATGAAGAGTGCTAATGAAATTTCTCTCACGTTACAAGAGTTGTATTGTGAAAACTTGAAAGTGAGGGAATATGAGTTAAGGTCAACCTTGTTTGGAATGAGGTTAAGAGAGGGTATGTCCTCGGAAGAACACGTCATGAAAATTATAAATATTCTAGGACAAATAGATGCTTTGAATATCAAGATGCTTGACACCCTCAAAGTTAATTTGATTCTCCACTCCCTTCTGCTGAGTTTCAAGCCTTTCATTAATAACTATAATGTCAATAGGATTGAGAGATCCCTTCCAGACTTGATGAATGAGATTCAACAATTTTATGATCAGGAGAGAAAAGGAAAAAGCCAGGACGAAATCAATGCAACTTCTTCTAGTAAGACTAAGAAGAAGAAGCAATGGAAACCCTAAAAGAAGTCGGGGATGAAACCCAAAGGCAAAGGGTTTAAGAAAAATGCTACACCTAAAGCCAATAAATCTAAAGAAAAAGGCCAATGATTTTGGTGCAAGGAAAATGGGCACTAGAAGAGGAATTGTCCTCTTTATCTAGAAAGTCTTAAGAAGACTAAAGCTCTTCTTGTTGAGAACACTGTATACGGTATGTCCCAATGCTATGTGATACCAATTGGAGGTTAGAATGCATGGAGAAATAAGCATTTGATGCATGTAATACTATAAAATATATATATTGGGATTTTGCAAAAAAAAAAAAAAAAAAAAAAAAAAATCAATCAAATTGAAAACAAATAAGGTATAGCTTATTCTCTTAAGTCTTTAGCAACCTTAGAGTCTCTTAAAAGAAAAGAGAAAAAAAAAAGTACATAAAAAAATCAATTCTATTTGATTTTTTTCAAATATCACATACCCAAACCAAATTGCACGATTCAATTTATTCCAACTTGGACTTTCCAATTTTTAGGGGTTTTGCCAAATTGTAATTAGTAAACATTCAAATGTTTTCTAGTTTCATAACAAACAACCCTAGTTTATGGTTTAGGGTGGAAATTGAACAATAACCTCATTTTGTTAGTTTCTGCCTATAAATTTAACCATCAAACTGGTAATTTTGATATTTACCTACGTAAGAAGGGTACTTTTACCTTTCAAATTTCTTAATAAAACTTTTATTTTCTTTTTTGAATTCCCGCACCCACGCGTCTTTTTTCTTTCTTTCTCTTCCTTGCGCCTCCCTTTTTTGCCCTTTTCCATCTCCCCTCCACTAGTNTGCATAAAAAAATCAATTCTATTTGATTTTTTTTTCAAATATCACATACCCAAACCAAATTGCACGATTCAATTTATTCCAACTTGGACTTTCCAATTTTTAGGGGTTTTGCAAAATTGTAATTAGTAAACATTCAAATGTTTTCTAGTTTCATAACAAACAACCCTAGTTTATGGTTTAGGGTGGAAATTGAACAATAATCTCATTTTGTTAGTTTTTGCCTATAAATTTAACCATCAAATTGGTAATTTTGATATTTACCTACGTAAGAAGGATACTTTTACCTTTCAAATTTCTTAATAAAACTTTTATTTTCTGTTTTCAATTCCCCATTCCACGCGTCTTTTTTCTTTCTTTCTCTCCCTTGTGCCTCCCTTTTTTTCCTTTTTCCATCTCCCCTCCACTAGTTCTCTAACATGTCCAACCTCTCATGACTATATTGAGGTTGGATTTAGCCTCGTGCAAGTATGATGAGTCTCGATCTACCTTTGTTTTACCACCATAAGGCCATTCTATTCTCGTGATAGTTATGAGAGGCCAAAATAAGTCTTTTATGGCTTGTAAGGCCAATTTTGGCCTTATGAGATTTCCATAAGACTAGAAACAACCTCAAGCCGTTATTACGAGGCCAAAATTGACTTGTAGTAGTTGTTAGAAAGCTTAAAACAACCTCAAGTGATCGTTGTAAGGTTAGAAATTACCTCATGCGGTCATTATGAGGCTGCATCTAGCCCCCAACGACATCTACAAGCTATATTTAAGGTTTTAAAGCCGGAATAGTCATTCCTAATGTTAACAGAATCTTATTAACGATTTTAGATTCGATGGGGATTATGGTCCAATAATCAACCTAGTGGGCCAATTTGCTAAATCGCAAAACATTTGGGCGTTTATATAATTACAAGTTTTTTCAAACCCAATTATCGAAGGAATTTATGGATTACCCTTACTTTGGGGGCTTGTTGTATTTCATAGAACCTCAGTGGCGCTTTGTAAATAATGACATTCCCTCCCTTTCTCTCCCTCAATAAAATAAATAAATAAATACATTGTCTATCTCAAAACCAAACGCTGTTGTGGCATTTGAAGCTCATCTCCTTCTGATTTTAACTAAAAAAATCAACCACAAAAACAACACAATATCTTTCAAACTTGTCATTTCTTCAAAATTCAGAAAAAATATAATATCTGCTGATCGAGGAAACCAAAACCACTTCTGGGTTCTTTTAATCAAATGAAGTATTTTGTAAATAAACCTCTGTTTATAGCCCCCAACCCCATTTCTGTACCAAATGGAAGCCAATGATAATTCTACTAATAAGGTACCCAAAATTCTATCCTTTTTTTCCTTTTTTTTCCTTTTTCTTCATTAAGCTGTAATTTTGCTGCAATTCATAGTTTTTCTTGGACCCTTTTGAGGTTTCTGGGTTTTGTGTGCATCTGGGTGCTGAAAATCTTAGGAATGATGAGAAAGTGGAGTTTGAGTTAAAGATTTTATTAGCGTTCAAAGTGAAAGTGAAGCAATTTTCATTCAATTAGTTTCATGTATTTGATTTGATGTTGATTCTTTGTTTATGTTTCTCACGGTAAAGGGAGAAGTTAAGATTATGGAGGATTAGTTAATGATAATCTTGAATCATGTGTATGGATTTTGTAGAACAAGCTTATTGGGAAGAAAAGTTGCAGTTGTCAAATGTAGTTGAAGAGAATTGTTTGTGCAACAGTAAAATTTGTATCGACTTAATTGTAGAAGAAAGCAAGTAATAGGATCAGTTTGGTTTCTTAAAACAAATGTACCGAACATGGCTTTTCCAAATCCCTTGACCCTTATGACCAATGAACAGGATAAACTTTTTAGTGTGGCTTTTGCATCTTTTTCATCTAAGCCTGTCTCAGTATTAGCTTATACATTCTTTAGAAATGATATGGTCATGTCCAGTTGAAGTACGCAGGTACTGAATGTATTTCACGCCATATGTCATTTGCTATTCAACTTATACTTTTCCCTCCCATGGTATTGGCAAGGTCCTTTCGGACATATATCTTTCATTCACAACCATTAGGGTCGAGGTGGTACCTCATTGTGAACTTTAAGCTTGACATTTATGTAGTCACTGTTGAACCCATTTTATGTGTTAGGGATGGTGGTGGATATTCTTCAACTTTGGCCTCTTAATTTACATTTTGTAGTGGACATGGTAGCCTGAGATTTATATTCTCATTTAAGCATACTGTTTATAACCATCTTTTTATGCTGGAGTTGTGTTCTTTTTTCCTTCTAGTTCTGAAGTCCGTATGAAGATGTTGTTAGGTAAGCAAGTAGTACAAGATCTCTGTCTAGTTGTTCGTGCATTTCTGCCTCTCTATGCTGCTATTTTTTCATCTTTATCTCTATGTATTAAAATATCTTTTCTCTGTGCAAATTGATTTTTACACCTAATTCTATATTAGTTATTTGTGCAATTTTCTTACGCCTAATTCTATAACATCAGCAGTGGCTATATGAGACAATATGCTGAAGTAGAAAGAATGCCTTACAACTCCTTCAATAACATCAAGAATAGCTATACGAGACAATATGAACTGTTATCTTTTTGTTTTTTGAAATCTGTGCAATCACTTTGTGCTTATGTATAATTATGATACGCAGTAGATTTACAATTTCAGAAATTCCGTTGGATAGGAAATAAACAGGATAGGATACTGCAATTGTGGACTTACATCTAGGGTTCCCCTTCTCCCTAGAATCAAGTGTTAGGACAAAAGTAGGTTCCATTTGGGAACCCCTGTTCGAGAACCAGTATCTTTTTGCAGGTTGTGTAATAGTGTTGTCCCAAAACCTTGGTTTACTACCCAGATGCTGTAGACTTACTCCCCTTTTAATAAACCTATGCATTTGTGAAATGTAGGGCATAGTAAAGTATGAATTTAGCTATGATGTTTAATTAGAAATCTGGTGGCCAAGTAGGTGATTTATAACTGTGTGTATAGAGTCATTGCGACAGTTACAAGGGAGACAAAGTCCTCTCTTAACATAGCACAAAGTTTCTCAGACAGAAATGAAATTAAAATTATAAGAACCAAATTGGTCACGTAGATGTAATTCTGAATCTCTTGACATACTGCATCATTTGAGGATTATTTTTGTAATATAATTAATATAATTGTCATCAGGTCAACTCTATCGCTAAAGTCTAGTCAGATCTTTCCAATTTTAATTCCTGGATGAACATCTAGAAGCCCTTTATTCACATTCCATGTTCTTGTGACATGAACTTAGAGCCTAAGTTTCCAAATTCTTTCAACTTCAGTTTTTTGTTTCACCATTCAGTGAACCACTGTGCTTTGATGAATATCTGACAAGGAATTATCACTCTGTTACAGGACTTTTACAAGATTTTAGAAGTTGATTATGATGCAACTGATGAGAAGATCAGGTTAAATTACCGAAGACTTGCACTGGTTAGTGGCTCTTTTCCTCTTTCTCTCTCTCCTTATCCCCTTCCTCATCTTATTAGTGTTTTGGATTGGATGAGCTCCTACACTTCTACATTGTGATGGTCCTTTCTATGGATGCAATGGAGTTGACTGGATGTTTTCATGATCTTTTGTCCATTTGTAGAAGTGGCATCCTGATAAGCACAATGGTGATAGCGCTGTTACAGAGAAATTCCAAGAGATAAACGAAGCCTATAAAGGTAATTCAATAGTAAGAACAAAATTTTGCATTTTGCTTAGCATGCAATCCCCTGTTGCCTTCTGATGTGTCAATGATCATCCTTGGAATTTAGTATGTGGAAACTTTTTTTCCTCAGAGCATCTTCAAAGGCATGACACAGTAAACAATGAAAGTTGAAAGAATTAAAGGGAAGACAATTTTTTCAAGGGTCTGCAAACATACTAAAATAATTTTCTTCTAAAAAAAAAATGGGAAAAAAAATTGTATCTGCAAAAGGTTGTGGTTGGTACTTGGGACTGGGATTTATGTTGAACAACTGAAGACTGTAGCATAATATGCATCCTAGTTGGAGCTCTTTGTTGAATCAGGCATATAATAGTGTGAATTGATGGTTTTTGCTCATCTAATTTGATATATTCTTAATTTATTCTGCTGCAGTGTTGAGTGATCCTGACAAACGCCTTGAATATGATTTCACTGGGATTTATGAGATTGATAAGTATACTTTGCGGGTATAACTTTTATGATCATCATATTTTTTATTTTATTTTTTTATTTTTTATTTATGAGATTGATAAGTATACTTTGCGGGTATAACTTTTATGATCATCATATTTTTTATTTTATTTTTTTATTTTTTTATTTTTTTTTATAAATATAGAACTTATATGATTCCATTAGGTCTGTTATTGTCAACTTATGCTTCTTTAGCTGTTTAGGAATGGTCAAGAACAATTAGCTGACACTGTTTACTGATTATCTTTGACATATGCCATTGCGATACAGGAATATCTTGCCAGATTTAAAGGAATGATTCTTACCTGCAATGGCCTTGGCATTAGTCAGCCCTCTATATGGTAATTCTTTTGCAACTGTATAACTTGCCCGGTTAAAAGAGCTCTAATATTCTTGTTGAATCACTACTACCAACTACTTTGTGAGGTCATGTACATAAGTCTTAGTTTTGGTAATTAGCATGAAGACTGGTCAACTCAGACCTTTAATACCCTGTCAATGAGACTGACATATTTTGGTTACATTGTGTACTATTTCAACGTGTGCAATTCTTTTTCTTTCTTCACTTTTCAAATAGAATGTCAACTTTGAAGAAGAAAAAAAAGGGTCTTTAGAATGTTTGTTAGATTTAAGGGATGGAAAATTTTAAATATTGTCAATATTATAGTAGGCTAGAATTTTTTTTCCAAGAGAGGACTTCTTTTCTATCTTTGGCTGACTCAAGTGTTTAACCATTTACCTGAATAGGATTCCAGGTTCAAGATTTCATTATCTTCAAAACTTTTATAAAATAACTATGATATGACCTCAGTTAGGAGAGAATAATGGATAGACGCAAGAGAATATCGGAGAGAAAACATTTACGTTTATTAATGTGACAATGTGCCAGGATCTGTTTTTTGCATGTAAAAATAGAAATTCCACATCAGCTTTGATCTTGGGAATACAATTTGTTCCTATCTAATGTTAACAAACTTGTGTCAAAACTTTGTAAAATAAAAGGCGCTGAACTCGCCTCTATATATATAAGTGAATCACTACTTACGAGAGTATAAAGGTAGCTCATAAATTCTATATCTTACACAAGTTATGACACATCTTTCAAACCAGTCGTTAATGGACTTTTAACAAAAGAAATTATGCTTAATATGTCGACAGTAAAGTAATTTGGAAATATCACATGTTAGATGTAGTCCTAACCATTTAGCTTTTGTTTGATACATGAGAAGACATAGGATTGAATATTTTTGAGGATTATAATCACAATCCAATTTATCATTGGTAAAGTGCATTGAATAAGTAGAGATATCTAATACAATATGATTGTAATGTTGGATCCACTCCAGAATCCCATAAACTAGAGATATCGTATTGTAATGTTGTATCCACCACATAATCTCATAAACTAGAGTTATCTAATTTTATTATGGTCCACGTATTTTTTTCTCCCAGAATTAAAAGAATTCCAGAAAAAGTAGTCTTGTTGTTTTCAGCATCACTTTGTATGATTGTCACCTCAAATTAAATGTACTTTGGTTTATATGGTGTGCTAGTTGTTATTCTAATATTGTGTAGCAATCTAGTGATTAAGTTATTCAACCTAGAAGTTTAATGTGATGTAAGATCAAGTACTGGTGAAACTGCCTGCCTAAAGTGATAGCCTTGCTGATATTTATAGTACCTTTTTCCTGCAACTTTTGTAGACATTTTTCCTTTAGCTTATCATAATTAATTTCTTCCTGGAGTATCATAAAAGATAGTCTCAAAAAAGAAGTATAGAAGGTTTAGCATCATAAAAGATAGTCTCAAAAAAGAAGTATAGAAGGTTTAGCATCATTAAAGGTAGTCTCAAAAAAAAAAAAGTATAGAAGATTTGGTCATGAAGGATAGCCTCAAAAGAGAAGTATGGATGGTTTAGCATCATAAAAGATAGCCTCAAAAACAAAGTATAGAGGGTGATGTGCCACTGTGACTGATTTGGCAAATTACAAGGGATGGGAAAGCTTTGTCATCTTCTTCGGTAAAGTGCTGTTATATCTTGAATGAATTTTGGACTGAATGGGAGAAAATTAAAGTTGTCAACAAAATATGTATATCATTTCTATGACGAATTTGTTTATAAATTGGAAAAGGATCATATGAGTAATTTAGTAACTTCTTTTTATGGGCTTACTCAAAGCCAGATAGGTGAACTCTAAATTTAATTAACATATGTGAACTCCTTGTTTACAATTTTAACTGTAGTTATTTTGAAACAAAAAAAAATAGTTAAATTTTCATACTCAGGCTTATGCGTGCATGGGTAGGTAGCTGCATTACTGCCTATGTTTTCAACCTTCAAATTCAAGCATTTCTGGTTCATATAGTATAAAGAAAGGATCATACGAGATTTACCAACTTTATCTTGCAATCTATAATGTTACTAACGATTTTTTATCTTGGTTCAGGACACCACAACTGAAAGAAACCAATGACTTTGCAGATATATAAGGTCTGGTGATATTGTAATCCATGACAATGTTTGTGCTATAGACCTCGTAATCTTTCTCTTAATGAGTCGGATCTCTGCAATCGAAAATTTCCAATATCATTTGGATACAAGAATTACTGTGTGAATTGAAGCAGGAATAGAGATGTTGAAGTTTGTACTATGTTGCCGAGGCAGCTGAAGATGGACCTGAGTATGTTTGTACTGTTACATACAATAGCAATCGATATCAGTAACTTGGTAATGATTTTTTTGAGACGAAAGCTCATTTTATGTGGCTGTGAGAAATATTGAGATGTGAATATGTGAAAGATCTTTTGATGTTCCAATTCTATCCAATCATCTGTCGACTAATCTTATAAGTTATGGTTTGTATTTAGAGTAAATTTGTGGCTGGTGAATGGTTCAATTCAGCACATTTTTACTTTTTGCCTTAGAAATTGTTTTAAATAGCAAATTTCCAGTTATATCAGAGCATTTGAATATAATGACAATAGCAATTGATGTTTTATTAAGAAAGTTGAAGATTGTATATGTAAATATCATAAAATTCCTTGCAATGTCTTAAACATAAATGATATTTTTTTTAATTGTTAGTTTTGGATTTTATTTGTTAATTTGTTTGATTAGCAAAAAATTTTAGAATAATAATCAACATAGTTCAGGTTTGATAAAAATAACCCTCTTAGATATAATTAAATAACAACTATCCACTCTGGTTTTAGTAATAACATAAATCTTTTACTGTTGCGGTTTTGGTCAAGGTTTTAAAACCTAACCCAGGGTGAAATCTTGCAAAGTGATTGGGTCTCAAGTTTAAATCGGTGGGTCAAACTGGTGATGTTAGAATATAAAAAAAGTTTGAAATCCAATAAAAACACTCTTAAAAATTAATTTAATCTCTACAGGTTTGAAATCTTGCAAAAACGCCTTAAATTACACCGCCAATGTCGACACCCAAGCCAAATAGAGCTTGTTTACAACGTCGACAACACATTCCATCACTATGAAAACTCTCCCTTCAGCCTCTTGACCACAACCCATCTCTCTCTACCCCCGTTCGCCTTGACAATTGTCGGCAACAGCAAATTTATTTTTGCGATTTTTAGTCATTTCACACACCGAAAATCACCTTCGTCGCCACCTTTCGACTCACCAGCCATTCTTCTTCAAAACCCCAACATCTCAACCTTCAATTGTTTGTCGATTGTAGTCTTAATTTCTTGGGTTTTTTATGAACAGTAAAATTTGTAGCTCGGTCCAGTGAAGGCCTCTGGTCCCAATTCAACCGGTTAGGCTAGGTTGGGTTTTAAAACATTGGTTTTGGTTTAAAAATAAACGGTGAAAGATCATTAGGAAAATGTTGTTATTTGGTTAAACTTTAGGGGCTTAAGCTCGAAAACCCTAACATTAATATGTAAAATGATGATAATTTAAATAACGGGAAGTATCTTAATATTTTTAAATTCAAAAGGGATTTTATTGACCTTAACTCAAACCTAAAGGGTAAAAGAAATAGACTTGGCCTGGCCTGCCTCTTCCCGTTTTGATAATCCATCAAATTTATGATACAAGAGACTTGGCAAGAATGTGTATTCCAAATGTCAATCTTTGTGTGATTCAAAGGCTAAGCTAACAATATATTTATATTCTTACTATATGAATATCATAATATTAATATTTTGTCATATAATATATATGAATACTGTAAGCTTATTTAATTTATGTAGTCACATTGCCTGATTAATTATTGAATATAATAATTCTCTTGCAATTGCTGCCGTAGGATAGTGTACAATTTTTAAGTCAGGAAAATTATATATATATATATAGAAAGTTTATATTTTATTTAAAAAATTGGGGTAGGGGTGGGTATTGCATTCCCTTACCGGGGATACCCACCCCATCCCGGAAAGTTCCAAAGTTGAGGCCAAGGCCGGAAGGGATGACCAACTCAACGAAGATGGGGTTGGAGATGAAGGTCCCTAGCCTCATCCTCGGACATTGCCAACTCTATGCAATTTTGGCTCTTCAACAAATACTGTGTTTGTTAAATTGGGCTGAATTTCAAAATCCAGGCTGTTCTCTGAGGAGAGTACAACAAACGATACTTTTACTTTGATTTATGTTATGATCAATAACAGGAAATCTAGGCTCTTTATGGTTACCTTCCTTTATTTTCATAACATCTTTTACTTAGGAACTCTGAAGAAACAAAGTAGAGAATATATTTATATAAAAAAATTGATTTCAATATACCCCTAAATTATGCATTAAATTTTATAAAATTATTTAATGATTATAAACAGTTGCATGAAGCATTATGTCAGCAAAGACTGCAGAGTACACTCTTTATAAAAGAAAATTAGTTATAATTTGTTATATTCCGTGTCATAAATTCAAGCAAGCTTTTGACCATTTTTCCCCTTAAAAAGCCAAGTTGTTACCCCCACAAAATTAATCTATAAGAAATTTATGTCAACAAATTCCTCATATTATAAAGAAACATCTTTTAATTTGAACATAAAGCTACACAAAAGAGTTCACTCAAGGGGTACAAAGTTATGTCTTGATTGTCATTTGTCTCTTCAATAGATCAGAACAAATTCTAATCAATTTGGAGCCGTTTCAAGTGCGCAATTTGCGAATAATTAAATTTTATTTTAAATTAATTATTAGATTATATTATCGGATCAATTTATAAAAAATAATTTGTATATAAAACATTACCTGTTCAAGTTTATCTTATATTTTTTTAGATTTACCAAAAATTCTGTTATGTTTGATTAAATCTTCTTATTTCAAAACATGTCAATTTGTTAATATTCCATTCTTTGTACATATTATCATTTGAAACAGAATATAAAATATTAATAAAATGTAAAATAGCCAAAAAGAATTTATCATTTTAGATATATATGTTGGTTGTGGGAGTCTTTGGAAATACGACAACAGAAAAAACAAAACAAAAATTTTATCTAATTATTCTTAATTTTCAATAAAAAACAAAAAGAATAAGCAATAACTTCAGCCCCTTTCAAAATCCCAATACATCTCCAAAACATACACACACACACACCAAAAAAAAAAAAAAAAGAAAACCAATATTATAAATGAATTATTGAACGGAAATTAGTTAATAAATTTAAAAAAAGCTTACGAGAAGAAGCTTAAAATAACCTAAAAAATAATTTATTTCTAATTCTATAAGCATTTTTGAAATACAGTCAATTATATCAAAAAAATTCCAAAAATACTTATGGTTTAAAAAAATTATATTTTCTGTTAATATTTAATTGAAAAGACGAAAATACCCTTAAATATTTAACTTTTTAAAATTTTTATTATTTTTTATTTAACCAAAAAGTCAAATATTAAAAGTAAAAAAAAAAAAATAGTTAGCCCCAATTAAAAAGTTAGGAGTAATACTATGAATTTATTTATTTATTTATAATGTCATCAATATCACATTACTATTATTCAATAATCTATTAAATTTATAATGTTTTTTATAATATAATGTTTTTCATCTTTACTAATTAACATAGAAAATCAATATTGCTAATTAATTAAATAAACAAAATAAAAAAATATATCTTTACACTTGAACTAATAAATAATCGAATAAAAACTTTGACTTAATTAAATTTTAATTTATAATAAACTAATTAAGAAATAAATTATTTAAGGATATTTCCTTTTTTTAATCAAATATTAAAATAATTTGACGAAGGGAGAAAAGTGTCATTTTAAAACTTTACGGGTGAAAAAGTGTCGTTTCGCCAAACCTTGGGTGGGAAAATGCCTTCTCCCCACATAAAAATCCATAAATATAAATAGAAAAGATAATCAAAAATAATTAAATATATTCAATCAAAATAAACCACAATTTCGAAGCTTTCCAACAAACGGTGGACAATTCGTCATCACAATTTGCTGCTACAGTAACGTTACGGAACAAATTTCTACCACTGGACTGGATTACCTGCTACCCAGGAACAACGGTAACAGAGACACACTAACATCTCAATATAACAAGAAAGCAAATTAAAATTTTTGCTCCATTATTATTATAAACTAATCACTAAAATTATTCAATCAATCAGAAGATGAAGAAATAAAATTACGAATATGATCTAAAAAACTCAGATTTTGTGGCCGATCCTTTCTTTTCACATACCCTTTTGCTTCTTTTTCTGAATAAACCCCGAAACCCTTCTTCCCATTCCTTCTCCAGAGCTCTTTATCGTAACTTTTTTCCGCAAAATACGCCTCGGCGCACGTTATCTTCACCCCTTCTTCATTCTCTTTATCGTCCTCCGCCTCCGCCGCCATCGCCGCCGTAGCCACCACCTGAATCGGCAAGCGCTGGTAGTGGCCGCGGGTAGTGCCTTCGAGCTCGTCCATTCGGGCAAGGCCGTAGGCGGAGACGCCGTAAAGCTCGCCGGTGACGCGGAGGCCGGAGCCGGGGAAGTTGAGGAGGAAAGGGACCTTGTAGGGGCCGCAAACGAGAGGGAAACTGTCGACGGTTGTGTAGGTTCCCTTGAAGACGGCGTCTCCGGTTCGCATTAGATCTTGGATTAGTGTGTGGTTGGAGAAGCCGCGCTTGAGGGTGCCGTAGGTGAAAATGGAGGTTGTTGTACAAGGAGTTTGGGCGGTTTCAATACCCATGACTGAAGATCTTGAGATAGGGGAAGAAGAGAGGAGGAGATGTTTGTTTTGTTTAGGTTGTTGGAGAATTGTTTGTATTGTTTTGGGTGGGTTGGATTGCTTCACGTTTCAACCAACTAGACATCTTTATTTATACGAGCCTTGTTGCAATTCATGGTTTGTGTCCATATATATATATATTTTTTTTATTTTTTTTTATTTTCATCTTACATTCTATAATACAATTAATACTTACCATATTGACAAATTTTTATAAATTCGTAAATTCACAAGCACAAAGTGGAGCCTTCTATGCCCATGGGAGATAAAACCCCGAGGTTGAAGAAGTTAATTACAAGTGACCATCCAGCAAAACGCTCCGAGGCTTTGACATTAAAATAATTTAGGATTTTTTTTTTTTTTTGTTTTATGATCGGGTTGTCTGAACTAGTTTACTCATATTTTAACTAATCATTCGGTATTCTAAAATTACCGATCAGATAAGAGTTCTAATGATTACCCTTATTAACAATCGAAGAAGGATTCGAACTCAAAACCTCTTAAATAGTACAAATAAGAATCTCAAACGAAATGATATTATTTTTTCAATCTTATCACTTCAAATTTTTTTTTTTTTTTTTTTTTTGAAAAAGGAGGCATTAAAATTCCAAATTTAAGGGCTTGCGATCTTGTAGTGTTTTCTTTAATTAGGAAATGACTTTATTAATACAGTAAAACATCTCCATAATGATATTTTATATAAGAATAAACTCTACATAATCATAAAAAATTTCCATCCCAATTTGAGATAGTTATAAATAAGAATAAACTCTCCATTGTAATAAGTCATAACTTTTCTAATTCTCAACTTAAGAAAAGTTGCCTCCACATAGTAATAATTATTTGTACATTGCAATATATATATTACATTATTCGAATGAAATAAAATATTTATATAAAGTTGTTTTGGATAATGATTTATACTTTAGAGTTGTTTGGGACATCTTTTAACTTGTGAGTACATAATAACTCGCTAGCATGGACAGCTTCTTGTTACAGTCAAAATATTTTTAGTTTTAGCATGAAACTTTTTGTATTTTCATACTATCATCCTTAGGATTATTTCCTTTCTCTTCTTGTCTAATTGTAATAATGATTTATTCTTAAGTTAAACATATATGACTTGTTGCTCGTTTGGATGATTGAGGAAGACATTAATATTCATTTAATTAGTGTAATGAAGTTGTCCAATTTGATCAATCAATTCTGTAATTGACTATGCAACAATTGCATTTACAATTCTATCAAGGATACTTATATTTACTTGTTTCAAGACACGATTTTCTATCTGTTTGAAAAATAGACAATTTAAGTGTTGAATTGAAATCATAATATTTTACTACTAAAACATGAATTATAAAATAAGAAATCAAAATAATAATTTTTCTAATTATACCTTTATTAAGTTATAACCTCCTCACAACAATAAAATTATTTGATCTCACCATTATGATTATAGAGAGGTTTTGTTGTAGTTATATATTCTTACTCATGAAGCTATCATAACTTAGTGTTTTTTTTTTTTTAAATTAAATTTATGATGACTATGATGATTGATCGATTGTAATACGATTAAAAACATTTATTTATATTTTTAACATTAATTTAAAACTTTTATAAATTAAATTGTTATAAATGTTGAATACAATTAAAGTATAATAAAAGATTTTCATCAACCATCTTTACTCTTTGCTTAAAATACAAATTAATTGACTTTGAAAATGTGTTTCTAATTAATAAATTTCAATAGTTTTTGTGAATGTATTATTTACTTCAATTCTTCTAGATGATGTAAATATGTAAATAATGGATGGAACAAGGGCATTGTAGGAAATAAAAATTTCAGTTTCTTGATTTGCGAGAAAATCAGCGGTGTTCAGTTGTGGTCCAGAGAATGATTATGTACCATAAACATACAAAGTACAAATGGCACGACTCCGTACTTATGATAAACACCCTCACATTGCACTTGCACCGTTCACAAAACTTTCCATTTTGATTTTTCTAAATTCTAGTTTTATCCTTCACTTTGTATGATATATTATCATTATTATTTTCTATACCAATATTTGTTACTATATGCCCTTCAAGATAGCATTTACAGTTGGAAGTAGTATGTGTTGTGCACGATTCTCCGAGCGGTTAGATTTATGGCACCTCTCATTAAACCATACCGAGATCTAGCAGCTAGACTTGTCTCATATATCGCTTCCATAGCAGATGATTTAAACAATAAGTTCACCAATTCTAAGCATGGGCATTATGTCTTAAATATGAATGAAAGCTGACTTAGATCTGTATTACAGAAAATTATGCGTATAATCCATCACGTAATACCAACTCTCAACCACTATTAAACGGTGTGTATAAAAGGGAGGTACTGCCTCCATTTTAGAGAGGTTGTAAAAAATACACTCAAGCATAGGAAGCCATTTAGAGGGAGTATCAGCTCGCTATTGCGTGTTTTTCCCTTGTAATCATTTTGTGTGTAATCCATATATAAGCAATAAAATAACAGTGGACCTAGGCTTGATTCTAACTTGTCAAACCACTTTAAAAGTTGTACTCAGTCTTGTCGAGGTCAATTAAGTATCTCTGGTTGTTGCGATTTTTTGTAACAATAGTATGTTTGGATAATATACTTTCTTGAGAAAAGCATACTTTTGCGTGTACGAGACCAAGCAACCCAAGGCTAATTTCAAAAAAAATTGATCCAATGTTAGTCTTGTTTATTTATTAATTTTTTTTAAGAAAAAAATCAAATGTAGCCGTTGGTCAAATCAGTTAAACCAGTCAACCCAGGACCCGGCCACTTTGACGGGTCTCACCCTGAGTTAGGTTTTAAAACACTGGACTCTTCTATATTATTTTTACTTTTATCTATATGAACCGTTTTTAATTACGTATTTTGTTAGGGGTGAGCATGGATAAAGGGTAGAACCAGAACCAACCTTATTAAGGTTCGATTTCGGTTTTGGAAAATCAGAACCGAGAATTCCAGGGTTCAGTTCCAGTTTTGTTTGCTATAGCGTTGGAACCGAGAATTGGAATTGGAACCGAGGTCCAAGTACCAGGGTAGGAATCGAGACTAAATTATAATTTTTGTAAACTATTGGGGGTGTAATTAATTTTTAGGGGTAAATTTGTTATTTTTCAAAAAATTAGGGGTAATTAAGATTTATTCGGGTACCCGGAATTGCAACCTATGTTCCAGGTTTCGGTTATAGGTTTCTAGGAACCAGAATTGGCTCGGTTCCTTTAAAAAATGTAGGGTATCCGAAACTGATCACTCCTAGTATTTGTAGTAAGAGATTTTTGATATTTTGAAGGTAAATTGTATAAATAACCTAATTTTACGGTTTTAATTGAAAACTATAACATTTTAAAAAGTCTCTCACAAAGTAACTTAGCAGCTTTTTAACATCTTAGTCTATTTTATGGCCACCCTTTTTCTAAGTGGATTCTAGTCATAAAATCATCAAATTCCTCGTGTCTTTTTCAAAAGTTATATATTAAATATATATAAAAAAATCATAACCACACAAGAAAAAGTATTGGACTTACCACGAACAACCCACTTGTTCTTGTCTTTGCTTTGTTTGGATTTTTTTTTTCATACTTTATTTAAAGGTAACTGTTGGTTTTACACTATTTGTCGGTCCAATAACCTTTATCAAAATAGGAAAATATTTTTTTAAAAAAGAGATCTAATCATATAATAACAGCAAGGGCAAAACTAAAAATCAATTTTTGACAGGGTTAGATAAACATTAAAAGAAAAATTATAATTATGTTGGTATGAATAAATTCGTTAATAAACAAGTACCTAATCGAGATAACTAGTTTAATTATTTATAATATCTTTTATCGTGGAAAAGTTGATAATTATAACATCATTATAAAAAATTTATTATTATTATTTTTTTTTTACTTAAGAATCGAGAAAAATATGACAAAAGAGGTGTGGAAACAAAAGAAGTGAGAAGCAAAAAGTGTATTCGAAGCTATAAATTTGGAATTACTTATGAAGATTATGAAATTCGTTTCATAAAATTAAAAACATTTTTAAAGAAAATATAATAAATTTAAAATTTAAAATTATATATAAATCTTAAAAGTTTATTTTATATTTTTTAAATTCTCACCAGGGCTAGAGCCCAAGGAAAGAAAGACAAGCAAAGATGTATGAAAAAAATAATATATTTATCAAATAAACAAGATTTGAGATAGAACGAATGTTTATAATAGATAGGAAAAGTAAAATTTAGGATTTATATACTAAATTAGGGTTTCTGATCAATAAATATATAAACCAATATTGTTTTTTTTACAGTCTTTTTAATTTAAGGTCAAATTTTTCGTAAGCAAAAAAATTCCTAACTGAGGCTACCTAAAGAAAAGATAAAGACCACATATCATTTGTCCTCTACTAATAACTATAAATTTTGGCCTAGTCAACATTTAATGGTAACAATTGATATTAGAGCTTAGTTATATATTTGATTGTCTAGCTACCTTCTATTGCGATGGAGGTTAGCACTATGTTAGGATCCCATATTGAGATCTCACACCCACTAATTGTGATACTCTTAAGTGTGTGAGATCCCGATGTGGGATCCTAACATTGCAACTGTAACAGCTTCTTTCTACTATCAAAATCATTAAATATATTAATGAAAAGACAAGTATACTTATCAAAAAAGTTGGGCCCAAAAATTTTTCTTTACTTAATATATACATTCTTTACAAAGTACAATATCATTTGTACAAGAAGACTCTCAAAACAGTGGACAGTGCAGTCAAGTCTCCCCGCTTGCCGACGTCCATCCGACCAAGTCCTCACCTATGACCTGTAAAAATATAGAAAACAAGGGGGTGAGCACAAAGATGCTCAGTAAGTAAATATTTTATTCCATAGTCCCCTTGTATTACTCTTCAATTCTTTTCTTACTCTACTTCTAGCTCTCACTATTCTTTTCTTTCTTTCTATTCTAATCACCCATGGAGAATCTCATAATAACATGCATGGATGGGATGCATATGCACTAATCATAACAATGCATTTCTCTTTTTTCTTTTCTTTCTATTCTTTTCTCATGTTTTCTTATTCTTTCTTAT